AACTACTCATAACATTCTACATACCAGCAACCTACACTTGCATTTGGGTAAATATGCTCGGAATTTTGCCTACTTTAAGGGAAGGGGTTAATACATGCTTCTCTTTCAAATATTGAACCGTGACCACTAAGCCCACTAAATCCTTTTATTGCAATTGGGAATGATCAAAGTCTCTCTACTTGTTTACTTCCAATTATTAACTGTAAATCTCTGGGGAAAAGATCATGCTATATCGCTGTCAAGCCTAAATGACTGCGTAAACATATGCAATCAACTTTTTTGTGCTCCCTTCCCAAAGCATCCCTTTGCCAAATGACCTATGCTGACATTTAGCAAAACCTATAAAACGTAGTGGACTTGAGTCAAGATTCTGAGTGTACCCCATAGCAGAGGTTGAGAGCAAAGTTGTAGTCTCCGACAGGGAAAAAAAGAAAAAGAGGAAAAAAGAAGTAGAGAGAAAGGAAACCTCCAGCAAGACTAACGTCCAGTCACCATCTTCACTCCAAAAAAAGCTCCAAATTTGAAATGCCCACTTGCCAGGGAGCACTTCCCAAGTAATGTTCAGAGCACTTATCCAAGACTCCCCACAAATACCACCTTGAAAACTTTACCATTTTCCACACAAATGCAGGAGACCTTGGAAACAACTGGGAACCGCCATCTTACAAGCCATCCAATTTCACACAAGTGTCCCTCCAACTTAAGTTAATAACATTTTTGTTGGGGCTCTCCCCGGGCTAACACCCACCCCGGAGGGATCGCCGCCCTCCGCGTAACCCGTCCCTATAAAATGGGGGCGTTCTCTGGACGTTTAAACCCCTCGAAAGCCCCTTTTTCGGGAGAGGAGGGAAGCCACTTGCCCCAAGCAGCTCCCGATTTCAGGATCCCGTCCCGGTTTCATCAAAATCTACCTCTCAACAAAGGGCGCCGCGGCCGGGGGAGCCGCCGAGGCTGCAAGTACGAGTGTTCTCCTCGGGGGCCATGTGCGTCGCGAGGGTGCCGAGGGGCGCTCGGGGGAGAAAGGAACTAAAACGTGGGGCGCGCGCGGCGCGGCGGGGCCGGGGCCGGGCGGGCGGCGGCTGGAGCGGCGCCGAGCCCGGCCACCGGGCCCCGCACGGCTGCGCCCCGGAGCGTCCGCCGCGGGCCCGGAGCCGGAGCCACCGGGGCGCGCCGAGCCGACCCCGGGGCTGGAGGAGCGGCCGCAGGACGCCGGCCCCGACGTTCCCGGCCCGGGGGCCTCTGGCCTGCCGCCGGGCCAGGCCGTCTGCGCGGGCCCTGACCCCCGCCCCGAAACGCAGCTTCCAGAACTCGACCCATTTTTCTCCTGGGCTGAGGAGCCCGAGGATTACGGCGCCCCGAGTCTCCCGGCGAGCACGTCTGTCCGCGTGCAGGTTTCCAGCCGCGGCTGCCCAGCGCGCGGCGAGGCGGACTTCCTCCCCTGCTTCCCCTCGCCCGCGGCGGGCGAGCTGGCGCCGGACGGGGGTCCCGGGAGTCCGCACCCGGCCTCGGACTTCAGCCAGGCCCCCGCGCTCCCCGGCGAGCCCGCGGGCTGTCAGGAGGACGGCCTCCGCCTCCGAGCCGTGTTCGACGCCCTGGACGGGGATGGGGACGGCTTCGTCCGCATCGAGGACTTCGTCCAGTTTGCCACGGTCTACGGGGCGGAGCAGGTACCGAGCGCGCCCGGGCCGGAGCGTGGGGGCCGAGCAGGGGCGCGTCTCCCGGGGGGTCGATGCGGGACGGGTTGTCGCGGCCCCCGTAGTCATGAGGGGCACGGTTAAGACCAGCGGGTCCTGGTTTTCCTTTTTATTCACCGCTTCTGACTTGGAGTTTTGGTTGAATTTCACCGAAGTCCCTCTTCCCACTTAAGACGAGGTTCGATTCCGGGGAGTCATTTTAATCCCCTCCCCCCAGCGCGACACCAGCTGGATCTTTGCAAACCGGGCTCAGCTCTGGACCTGGCTGCATCCTCCCTGGCCGCCTGACACAAGTGCCCTGCACGGAGAGGTGCCCGGCGGTGCCCGCTCTGCGGGCCCGGGTGCGGCTTGGCTGGAGTAATTTACCCAAATTAGGGCCAGAGGCCAGGCCGCACTGGCCTTGAGACCGCACCAACAGACACAGTGTCTTGAGCAGTTACTTTGTTGGGTATGATTGGCACAGGTTCTGCGTAGATGCCGCGTTTCATTGTTTGAAGACATTGAATGCTTGTGGAAGGTCCTAGGAATTGGAAATTCTCACTTTGGTACCTTTGGTGAGGAAGGGAAGGGAATGCGCCCTGGAGCTCCGTGGCAGATACAAACACAAAATCTAGCAGAACTCCATCAGGGCCACCTCCACGCTCGCAGGAGAGGTGACAGGCATAGACAGGCAGCAAAGGCACAGTGCAGCCTGGCGGGGTCCCACACAGTCCCCAGGGTGCCAGCTGCTCCGGGGGAAGGTGGGCCCCAAGTGCCAGTCCTTCCAGCACTTAATGAAGTTTAAGTGGAGATGACAGCAGGGTGTGAGCTGCTAATAACCAGGTAGATGTTGACTGAAACCTGTGTTCACTTTTAAGTATTTTACTTAGTAGTAGGAAATCCCTAAAGTGCTGGTCTAATTTTTATGTTTTGTTGACTCTTCACACTGGTTGACGTTTGTTAGGTGGGTGTTCAGGTTCGTATGCATGTTTAAACCAAGAGGTCTATAAGAATACATCAAATTGACATAGCACCATTTAGGGTGTTAGTCATAGCATTAAGGACCTTTGTAAGAGATCCGTGTTCCGTTGAGCCGTCAGGGTAATACCGAACTGGGGCCCCTTGCCGAGTTCACGGCCTCAGGTGATGTGCACACAGATATTTGCGGGGCATCCTGTGATGCCCACATGCTTAGCTCTGGGTTGGAAGACGCTGTCAGGATGGGTGTTCCACCTCTTAGTCCAATGGGCAAAGAGATATGTGACTGGTATTTCCTGTGTGGTTGGCTCTAATTGTGGTTGCTGGTCCAGGCTCTTTGATCTGCTTCCTTCTTTCCCCTGGGCTGGAGGGCACCTTGAACAGCCTTGGTGGTGGTTTACTTGTGTGATGTATCTTCTCTCCAGATGTACTCTTGCTTCGTTACAGCAGTCAAAGATGTTAGGAGAGTTCCACGCTTGCTCTTCCTCACCAGAGCCTGACTCTTTAC